CTCGATTGAATTGTACACTTTTCTGATTGATAAAATAATCAAACTTTTTCCATATTCAGTCATTGTCCATGAAATCGGACTGCAGTCCTTTTAAAAAAACCCAATCTTTTCTCTGCCATATATTGAAATGATGCTATGTTCATTAATTTACTTGAATTAAAATATGAAAAAAAAAAAGGTTTAGAAATGTGCTTTATGGTTCCCTTTTCCAAACAGTATTTTTCAAAGATGAATGGTATTGCAGTGGCTCGTAGTACTGCTGCTTAGTCAATATTTTTAATTAAAGTTTTAGCAGAAAGATTTAAGCGATTGACATAGTGATGCACATAAAACTGGTTAAAATCTGAAAGAAAACTTTATTGCTTACAACAGTATCATTTACTTTTCAAAGACTGAAGATCTGCTCCCAAATTAAAAGTTTCTTCTGTAATTTTCTTCATGAGATGTACTGCTTCAGATTTTGTCACTTTTTCCTTTAGCGTTCTCGTCTTTCTCTGGATTTATTAGGAATATTGAACTGTTTCAGTTACTGTAGCTAAAACTCTATTTTCCCTTTCAAATCACTTTTGTCCTAAGCTTTCCTTTAGTTCTTTTCTTTGCAATATTTCAGGATGAAGTATTTTGAACTCCAAGGTGTTTTCATACAGTGGGAACAGCTGGATGTCAGCCCTTTATAAATGATGAGGAACTTAGTTGTGCCATGTTCCCCTATTTCCACTTATTTTGAATTTTATCGTAACTCATAACTTACGTGTTACTTAAGCCCAAGTAGCTGGAGGCAAGTAACAGTGTGAGAACCCTAGGATTCATTTGAAATAAAAGTTTCTAGCTCCTGCTGCTACACAGAACATACTGAAAATATGATTTAAATGCACTACAAAGCTCAAGAGCTAGGTGGCAAGCAAAAGGAACTGCCAAATGGAAATGCATGTTCTTCTTCCGTATTCAATCTTGCTGAAGTTCATGGACCTGAAATGTGGTTTATAAGCACGGACTCATCATCTGATGCAAGACACAGCTATGGAGGCAGCTTAACAGCAACGTTGCGATGGCATATTTAGCAGCCACCTTGACCTTGCCTTCTCACAAAGCAAATTGATCACTTTCCAGCTAGTGACCTGGATCTTCTTGAGGAGCAATACTGCAAACTTGTTTTGCTGCATTTGCTACTTCCTACTGGCTCATGCAAAAAGTGAATCTGGCCCCTAAGCTGAGATGCTTTGGAAAAAAACAGCCCTCCTTAAGAATATAAATGAACCAAAGAAGCAATTATTGTTCACCTGTCCACATTTAACAAACAGACAGTACAATTATTTTTTTTTTACTCAAGGGGACTAATAATGAGCAAAGCCCAGTAAATTTTAAATATACTTGCTATCTAAATTTCCTGACCAAACCAATATCTTTGCTGCTTAATGCATTTTTTTATAATTTACTACTACTTTGTCTCCATTTCTGTTCAGGATAGAAAAATCACCAGAGCTCAGATGGGAGACTATGCAGTAATGTGTTTGTAATCAACAGATTAGTTAATCAGCCATGATTTATTAATGATGAATTAATTATACCTGATTGTGCAGTTCTGCTGCTTAAATGGAGCTTTAAAGGAGTTATTTTATTAATCATCATTGTGCTAATTGCAGACACTTACAGAAGGATTGCTAATTAAACATGCAACCATATGCAAAATAAGCAAGGCTGCTGAGAGTGGCAAGAAAAAGAGCACTCATTTTCTGAGTAGCAACTTTATTCTCATGAAATATTGTGTAGTTGACCTGGTGATCCTAATGACTCACTAAGATTTTAATACATTGCACATTTTCAGTCAACAGTAAAGGAAATTAATTGTTGTGACAAATTCTGTCCATCTTTCCTAGTGCAAAAAATAGGTTGCGCAAACTTCAAATAAAATTGTTCAGAATTTGTGTGGCCTTGTTTCACGTTTTCATGCAAAGGATTTACCTGTTGGTTTTATTAGCTGTATATAGATAACTTAACTATCTTAACTTCGAGCAAGATCCTGAATGCTAAGTTACTTTAGCACCAAATGAAATGTCTGATTAGACTTGAAATGGGAATTCAGACTCAAAATCGCATGAGTTTCACACTAAGAAAAAGAGGAACACAGTGATGTTTAACTAAGTTAATTTTGAAAAGCCAAAGTCAGCGCAGAAAATGCAGAAAGGGAACAGTACAGGTAGATTTCTGTGAAGAGACTACTATAATTTATTTAAATATTAGTGCCATGTGATCTTCAACCTATGCAACACATTTTTTAGGTCCTTATGATGCTAAATATGATCTTTTGAGTGCTATAGAATTTCATGCAGGCTTCATCATCGTGGACTTTCCATCGACTCTTTTTTTTAATGCAAGTTGCTAGGCCTTCCTCATTAATTAAATAAAAGTTTGTTTAAGAATTTTCTGGAACTGCCTGCATCATATTACAGCTATTAACATAGAAGTTTGGAATTTAGTAGTTCTCTAAGAAAATGGTTAACTTGCATTGTTCGATTAAATTAAAATGTTGAATCAAAAGTTAAATTAAGTGAAGATACTAAGTGGAAGGTTGGAAAAATGCAATGTCTCTCTGTTTAGTGTTTCGGGTGCAGAGGATTTGCAGAACTGTTTTGTGCTGCTCTCTTAATTAAGATTGTAGCATAGGGATGTGTTGAACCAGGAGCAAATTATGTGAAGGGAAAATACAATTCCAAAAATTCCTGTGCGCTTGAGAGTTATTTATCATGAGTGTCCAACAGAAGGTCATTAAGTTACAGGCCAGTGTAAGTTTTGAGTAAATCCCTGGCTAGATCGAACAGCCAAAACATGAAAATTTAAATGCATGTTTGCTCATTTTACTTTTTTGGTGTGTGCCTTAGCAGCTTCATGGAAGGGGAAGCACAGAGTTGGCTCTTAAAAGAGCCGAGGCATAGCTCATGTAGCGACCAGGATGAAAGCACATAACCCTGAGAAAGGAGGCAAATTAAGAAAAAAAAATACTGAGCAACCGAAACCATTTAAGTTTGTTGCTATGGAAATGAATGTACAGCTAAAAGGGATGAAAAGAAAATGGGAAGCCATTTTTTTAATTCAGTAAGCCATTTAACAGATTTGCTTAAAGGATTCATGAAAATACTTTGCATTTCTTTTGTGTTGTCTGGATGAGGATAGACAGAAAACATATACTGAAAAGTTGTTACCAAAATGGGAAAATTTTGCAAAAGGTGAGAATAAAAGATCTCATGAATGTGTACACAGCAAGACGTCATAGAAGGGAGCCATGTGTTCCATAAGGGATAGGAAGGGAAATTAGCAACAGATGAGGCAGTTATTTCTGGGAAAGGAAAGATTTCTTTGTCTCAGTATTCATCAGAGTGACAGGGAAACATGCCAGGAACAGAGGGAACCTTCCCAGAAGTAAGAAAAGGGAACTAAATGACAATTAAGGGTGATGACAGATCAGGTAAAAATTAAATTAGTTCAATTAAAAACTAAAAAATCTGCCAATTAAACAGTTTGATTCTGACTTCTATTTTTTTTTCCCCCCAGAGGAGTAGATGACTTTAAAGTAATTACCAGACAAACAAAAAGACGGAACAAGGGATTTTTCTCAATTGCTGAGTCACTGTCCTCTTATTTTCTAAAATTTACTACAAACCATAATTAAAAATTTTCAAAAGAATGGGAAAGGGGAATAACAAAACCCAATATATTACCAGATAGTTGAAAAGTGTGAAATTTTTTTACTACAGGTCAGTTTTAGACTAAGACCTCTAGTTTAGACTTAATGTCTAAAGCAGAATGTGAAAAAGTAAACATTTCTAACTGTTAGTTTCCTTAGTGAGAGGTGCACTTTGACTTGTGTTTTTGCCTCATTGATTGGCGAAGGAGGACATTCCCTGGTTTTTAATGTCACGAATCACATAAGTCTAAGTTTTATCCACTTTCCAGTGTTCTGTGACTTTTTTTGGTGACACACCCAAACCAAGAAACCACTTTCCCATATGTAATTTTTGTCCTGTTAAGCATTACAGGGTAGATAAAATACATTAAGCAAACCCAAGAAAAATTCTCAAGAACGTTTCTGGAATTGTGAAGAGGAAGGAGCTTGAAGGAGATGAAGTAGGTTTGTGAGGAGCAGGAAGAGGAGAAGGAGGTGCAATACCTGTGTAGAGACTCTGCAATATGTGAGCATAGTTAAAACACTTCAGGGCATGCCCTCAGTTTTTGCCAGTAGTTGAAGTTGATGATGCAAAGAGAGTTTGTATGATCTGGGAGTCAGGTTGAGAGATGTTAGGCTAGAGAAGAGATTATGTAGAATATAGTAGAGCTGGAGCAGAGCATGAGGTGCAGCAAAGCCAGGAACCTGAATTTCAATTCAAATGTATTCTCTGCTGACCTTCTGCTGTGCTTTGGATCCAAACCAAAGGGGACTCACCAGAGTGCCCAT